TGGTGGGACTCCCCCTTGCGCTTCCCAGTCACCGACTGGTCTGTCCCAGTTCAGATGGAGGTGCAGCACCTCTTTAAACCCCCAAAACCGGGCTTTTGCGAGAAGAAAAGGGGCGCTGCTGGCGTGGTTCAGGCATGGAGCAGGTGTGGAATGGAGCAGCCCAAGGAATCTCTTTTTCATCCATCCTTACGCTTCCTACTCCCCACAAGACCCCGGCAGCGCTCAGGGTGCTCACCCACCTCCGAAGTTTGCCCCTCTTTGGGGATCCTGATCGCTTCCCAGACTTTTCAGATCCTCTAAACCCCAGCCCTGTCTTGAAAAGCGGAACCGGAGGCTTTTGGGGCGGAGGAGGAGAGAAATGCCAAAGCCAAAGCCTTTGTCAAACAAACCCATCAACTGCAGGGTGCACGGGCCAAGCGCGCGCGACGGGAGCCAAGCGCGGGGGAACAACAGCTCCAATTTATTTAGATTATAACGTAGCGAGGGAAGGTTTGTTTACGACAGAAGGAAAATATGCCGCAGTCAGTCCATCGTAGGCTCGGGCCGGCTCTAATTGGAAACAGAGGCTGGTGCTTGGTAGAAATCACCGCCGTCGTTCTCCCTGTTTGTATTTCCCCACCACAGGGGACCCTCCCTGGGGCAGCGCATGCGAGTGGCCGAAGAGCACAACAAGTGACAGAGAAGCTGCAGCCCTCGGCAGAGGGTCCTCGTCAGCCACAGCCAGACTCTCCTCGTTATCTGCCCAGCCCAGAGGAAGGATCTTTTCTTCACCAACACCCTGGCAGGCGGATTCCAGGGAGTCCCCGCTTCCCTGGTTGGCAAACTTCCGGTGAGACGGTAAAGAACGACTCCAGATGGATAAAAACAAACGTAGTTTGGTTCCAGGAGCCAACGTGGAGGTTTCACAGGAAAAGGTTTAAATCCCTTCAATAAGTCGAGGCCGTTCAAACGTCTGCTCCTTCCCACACACGTCAAGGGGCACGTCCCCAACGTCCTTGGCGCTGCGCTCCGTCAGCGCGGATCTGCTGGGAGGGGAGCAGGGTTGGAAAGGAGGAAAAAAACCAAACCCAACCCAACGAAGACTAAATGGCAACGAGGAACTTTCTGTGACAAAGGAGCTGCTGACGTGTCTGCTCTGCTGGGTCCCGGGCAGGCGACTATTCGAAGACGCGGATGCTCGAACAGAACGTTGCACAAACGCGGCAAAAGAATCCAATGCGGGTCCTTAACGTCCCAGATGCGCAACAGGCAGCGGCAGCGTTCACAGTTTGGGAAACTGTCGTCTGCTTCCAAAGTTCCTGATGAGTTCTCTTCTATTTCTGCGCAAGCTCTGATCGAATTAGGCGAGTCCAGCGGCTTTTCAGTCCCAGTTTTGGGCCGGACAAGATGAACGGGGAGGC